AGAGGGTCAGCATGGAATGAAACTTCAAGAAGCTTAAAAACAAACACATATGACTTGAGTTTTCTAATTATATAAGTCATTCCATTTGTGAAAATTCACTGAGCTATATATACTTGTGACAGGCGCATTTTTGGGATGTCATACTTTAATAAAAAATAAAACAGATGCAACAGAGGACCATGTTGAAAAGCATTCACCCACAGCTAAAAGCACTGAGGTTCAGTACTGTCAGTACTTCAGTAAATCTTCTGTTTATTTTCCCTGCAAGATAACATGAGCCCAAAGCACCCAGCCTCACAAAGAGAAGCATGGGTAAGCCTGGTGCTTGCACTCTGTCCCTTCCCTGTTGCTAAGCACCTGCAGCTTTCAAACCCAGGCTAGGAGTCTTTTGCCCCCACCCAGAGGTTAAAAAAAAAAACCAACCAACCATATTCACAGTAAGCAGCTAATTTACCCTGCAAACAAATGACTCAGATCATCCCTGAAGAGGACATCTGGGCAGGACCTACCCTCCCCCGTGAACAAAACCAGGTGCAATCACACACAGAAAATCGGGTGGGGGGTGGGGGGTGTCCAGCATACACACCAGCAGTAAGGGTTAGTAGAGCAGCTGCCTCCACAGTGCACAAAAGTTGGTTCTTAACTTCCTCCAACAAAAAAGGAAGCAGCGCTCATTACAGTTTCCTTCTATTGATTTCCCAGCTCCTCTGAGGCACAGCCACAGCTAAGAGCATAAGCAAGACACCAACTTCCTGAATTTTAATGAGCCACTCCTCAATGAAGAGATTAGCCCTCTAATTCTCACTGGCTGTCAGAAACAGAGCTCATAGCTACTTATTTTCTTGGCTATGCCACCAAATTGGAGAGACAGGCACTAAATGTTCTTTCTCCACAAAGAATGTGGAAAATAATCTCAATTCAAGGATTATACATTTCAATAAACTAAAGCACCCAAGGTTGTAAATTAATCTGTCAAATTGAGGCATTAAACAGGAATATGCTAAAGTCACGGACCAGATGGAGGTGGCTATTTGAAAACTACCAGAATGACATCCAAGGGGGGTAGTGGCTCGAGTTGGACAGCACCTGCCTAGCAATCCTGGGATCCTGAGCTCCATCTTTGGGTGTCTGAAATGTATTTTGCACAGGATGAGGGACTATGGATGTGCTCTGTGGTACAGGACTTGTCTAACATGTGCAAGGCCTGGAGTTTGACCCTAAGCACAGCAAAAACAAAGCAAAAAAACATGAGTGCTACACGTGAATGAGATGCAGTTTAGTTTTGGCAGGAAGAGCAGAGAATGAGAATCCTTAAATGAATGGACAAGTTCCAACAATTCTAGAACTTAACTGACCAGATCTATAAAATCAGGGGGTGGAGTTAAGACATCTGTAAGACCTCTCCAATATTCTCTCTCTCCTAAGCTCCAATGTCACCTCAGCAGGGCCTCCCTGGCCACCTCTTCCAACAGTACCCCACGTGACCCTTTATCCCTTGCACCATGTCACCTTCACAGGGCCTAATCTATGTGCACGCCTTCCCTCATCAAGACACGGGCTCCACACAAGAAACTCAGTCAGGCCATCACCATCTATAACACTTAGCAGCATCCAAGAGGCACACAAATAGTTTTTCCAGTGGAAGAACAGGTCCATTCTAGCTCTACGGTGCAAAGTATTAGGATCTGAGATGTATCCTTACACGTGTCAAATATAAAATCCTAGACACTGTTTATTTTAAACTTACTTTTGGTGGGACTGGGATTTGAACTCGGAGCTTCATGCTTGCAAAGCAGAAGCTCTACTGCTTGAGCCACACCTCCAGTCCATTTTGCTCTGCTTATTTTAGAGATGAGAGCTCACAATTATTTGCCCAGGCTGGCCTTGAGCCCCAATCCTCCTGATCTCAGCCTCCTAAGTAGCTAGGATTACAGGCATGAACCACCAGCACCCAGCCTAGACATCATTTAAGGATATAACTTTCAACAAATAAAGTTTAAAGGTAACAGATTTTATCATTGACATTAGAAGAAATTACACAAATATGCAAATATTACTGAGGATACAACACAGGAGTGGTCAGGAGGTCAGGTTCAAATCTGGACTCTACTCCTATTGAGTAACTTCATTCAACTTCTCTTTGCCTCCGTTTCCTCTGGGTAAATGGGGACAAACACAGTACCTATTTCAGTGTCAAAGGAATGCATGGAAGACTGGGAACTGGGAAAGAACTGTTCATCATTTCCTTACACAACTACAAATTGAAAACAGGTCCAAGATAATAAAGAAATCTCACTTTTATTTTTAAAACCATGTACAATACAGTGCTCTTTTTTTAATGAGTAAGATTATATTCTCCACAGGAAAACAAAGGATCACAAGCTTATGGAAAGAAGAAAGTTACAAGGGTTCAGGAACACATATGCCTCAGGCTGAGACATGTGGCATGCCTGTCATCGAGGCAATGGATCTGAGAGTCAGACTGTCCGGGACGGGGATTCCACTGGATGGCAGTGCATCCAGCAGCCACCAGTGTGGGACACCTTCAGATGGTGGGCTGCCAGCCACAGCTGTGTTTGCACCTGCTATCCCTGGGGGTCTGCCATAAGGGAACAGTCTCTCTCAACAGCTGGTGGCAGACATACACCCAAGCAGGTGCACCTGAGAGTGGCAGGAAGTACTCTGAAAATCCTTGTGCTGCTGTTTGCCCTCCCTACAGGGGCTGGCTTGACATGGATGGTTCATGGCTAGATGAACAAATAGGCAACCATGGCAAGATTGGAGAGTCAGATGTGTGTGCCTGTGAAGACCTGATCAGGTCTGAACCCTGGCATTTATCTAGACCATTTTGTTTTCACACAGGGGCTCTGGATACAGACCATCAGCTGCCTGTCAGTAAATCCTGAATTTGTCCATACAGCCTGGAACAGATGACTGGGGCAGGTTTCACATGGCCCAGTTTCTGTATATTTGTCCAAGGTAAGGAGAGAAATGAGAGGTCTTTCAGAAACCTTTACGACAGAGTGCAATCGGTAAAGGTGAAGGAAATAGCTGGAGCCCAAGCAGTGTGCGTGGTCTCTGCCATGTCTAGGAGCAAATGCAGGGACAGCCCAGCCTCTTAGCAACTGTTGCCAGCTTCTGAATATTCATATCAGCCCAGAGGAGGCTGTTTGAAGACTCATACTGCTCTTTCCCAACTGAGACAATAAGCACTCCAGTGGAAGGGTAGAAAGAAAACTAAAGTATCTAAACACAGTTGTGTACAGCCTCATAACAGTGTGTTTGCTCTGAAGCAGAGAACATTAGACCATGTTCTCCAGATGGGAGGGGATGGAGAAAGGACAGAAGGGCTCCTTCAATTGCCTACTTTATGAGAAACTACCTCTATCATTACTTGGGGGGCTAACACACACATCAGAGTCAGCTTGAATGAGGATTCTTTTCTTTTTGGGGGGGGAATTGGGGTTTGAACTCAGGGCTTTGATCTCACAAAGAGGCTCTTTACCACTTGAGCCACACCTCCCAGTCCATTTTGCTTTGCTTATTTTTGGAGATGGGGGCGTCTACAAACTATTTGCCCAGGCTGGACTTGAATGGCAATCCTCCTCATCTCAACCTCTCAAGTAGCTAGGACTACAAGTGTGAGCCACTGGTGCCTGGCTTCAAACAAGGATTCTTAAATACTGGTACAAACCTGATGCTACAGAACGAAATGAGTCACCAACATCAATGATAACAATCGACTTTCTTCTGACCAGAACCAAGGTCTCCTCCTTTAGCCTGCATGGCTACAGGAGGGAAGAGGAGGGTTTAACCAAAATGAACAACAAGCTAGCGACCACTACGGGTGTGCTTTCCTACCCACAATCACTCAGCAATGCACTGTCTACAGGCAGAAAAGCTGGGCTCTTCCTCCTCCAACTGAGACCTCAGGAGGGGCATTTTCACCATGCCTCAGTTTCCTCACCTGAGATAGGGAGCTGCCATCCAATGAGGGTGCTACTGCTTTTCTGTTCGACTAATCCACAAGGCTAACAGTCTAAGTGCACTTACAACAGCACCTGGCATACAGCAAGCACTCCATGTATGCCACAGCACCCTTGTGAGGAAAATAAACCTGTGTTCAGGTAAACAGTATTTCCCACTTACAGAGAAGACAATTCTGCAGACAGGTAATTCACTTGCTCAGAATCACAGAAAGCGACATTGGTAATGGCCATTTTTGTGGTTACCCGATGCTGCCACAATATATATGCTGTTAGCAGCCAAGGCCTACGCAAAATAAAGAAGTCACATATCTCTCAGTGAGCCACTGAGACTTCCTCCAGGAAATCAGATTGTGCGGAAAGGAATCCAGATTGTGCAAATCTTGACATCTCATCAACTAAAAAAAAATTGGTGTCGTCCTCACAGGCACAAAGTGCTACAGAACACGGCCTTGGAGCCTTAAAAACGGCCCAACAGCTCCTAGTGAGGCTGGAAGACACACGCTCTTCCCAAACCAAGTCATGAGGAAACCGCACAGGGGAAGGGACAAAGAGGGAGGTATCGAAGGGTAAAAGACCCACTTCAGAGCTCAAAAAACGTGCCCGTGTATTTCTGCCCAGAGGCTCTGCCATGATTTACTAAGCAGGCTGACAGCACTGGAAATGAATGAACCAGGCACCAGGCTTGAGGCCCTTTCCCCTATGGGGGAGACCTGCCGAGCACAGGTCAGCTCTGTAGGCAGAGCCAGATGTCACCCGCAGATGCAATGGCCCTGCCCTTCCTTTCCCTTCCCTTCCCTTCCTTCTCCCGGGGATGGAATTCTTAGGGACGAGCTGAACACGACACACCCATCCGGGCGGGCAGGGAGCTGCACGGTCAGGCCCTCGCCAGCCAGACACCCTCCGGGCGGGGTCCGCGTCTCCGCCGCCCTCGGTCCCCGCCGCCGCCCGGACGCGTCCACGCCCGGCCCCCGCGGCCGCAGTGGGGAGGGCGGCGCGGCGCGTCCCACTCACCGCACTCTGTCGGGTACTGGTCCGCCCAGTCACCCGACTGCGGGCAGCCACCGCCCACCGGGGCCTCCTGCGACTGCCGGTGCTGCAGCTCCTGCTTGAGCAGCGACAGCGGCGAGTAGTGCTCGGTGGCCCGCGCGGAGACCAGCACGCTCAGCAGCAGCAGCAGCAGCAGCTGCAGCGCCCAGACACCCGTGCCGCCCCGGCAGCCGCAGCCGCAGCCCGCAGGTGCCATCTTCCCGCACGGCGCATGTGCGGCCGCGCGCGGCCCGCGCCGAGCAGGTGGGCGGGGCACACGGGGGCATCGCCCGCCGGGAGTAGTAGTCCCGGCCCAAGTCAGCCTCGGGCCCGTGCCTGGCGCTCGGACTGCCAGTCCCAGCAGGCACCACGGCGCACGCTTCCGGTCTAGGCTTGATGACTTCCGCCCAGAACCGGAAGTGGGTGCTGTGAAGTGGCCATGGGAACTGGAGGTCGCAGCGGACCGCGGCCTGGGAAGGGTGTAGTGGGGGCGGCCTCGGCCCCCTGCCAGTACCGCTGCATTGAGTGCAACCGGGAGGCCCGGGAGCTGTACCGAGACTACAGCCACGGCGTGTTGAAGATAACCATCTGCGTGCGTGGGTGGGCGGGGCCCAGCGCCAGCTTAGGGATGAGTGCGGGAGGGAAGGGGAAGGTGCAAGGGTGGCCCGTGAGTGGCTCCCTGGACCGCAGCAATGCTGCCGTAGGAACTTCTTGAAGGAGAATTGTCTCTTCCATAGTAAATGATACGGATCGGTGTAAGTTTGCCAGAGTGAGAAAACACATTTGCTAAAAGTAGTCACCGTGGCTCCCAGTAAGGTGTTGTACTGCATTTTTCCGGGGCGTGTGTGGCCTTCAAACTGCATACAGGCGGAAAAAGGTGAAGAGCGCAGGAAAATTAGGACCAAAAGGACGAGGGACCCAGCCGACTGTCAGGAGCTCCCCGACAGGCAGAGCTTTGTGCGGGAAGGCGAGCAGGGCACGCAGCAAGTCGCTGGTACCTGGAGCTCTCTATGTCTTTGGTGTCTGGTCACCCTGTGTCATCCCACTGTGGCACTTACCAGACGGTATGGTAGCATGGTTGTCCTCCCCCCCCCCGCCTTTTTTTTTTTTTCCCGGTACTGGTGCTTGAACTCGGGGCCTACACCATCCCTTTTTTGTGTTAGGTATTTTCGAGATAGTGCCTTGGAACTATTTGCCCAAGCTGGCTTCGAACTGCGATCCTCGTGATCGCTTCCTCCCGGAGTAGCTAGGATTACAGGCGTGACCCTCCAGCGCTGGGCTTGTCCTCCCCGCCTGAACTGTATGGTCCTGGAAGTTAGAGACTAAAGGCTCTAGCTGGCTATCTAGCTTCTTGAAAGTACCTGATCATGAAGTGGCTGGGGAAAGAGAGCTCTTGCATGTGCGAAACAAGTGAATATGCCTCCTGGTCCCGGTTTCTGCCTGCTTGCCTGCCTGCTTCTAAAAATTGTTCAAATCCTGATTTCTGACTCTGGCTTCTGTTTAGATGCTGGCTTATTCTTTGCTCAGCTAAAAACTGCAAAAAATAGGAACTCCTTATGCCTCTGGTTAGGTAGATTTAAGTATAAAGAAGTAACGCGTGTCCCTTCCTTGGTTTGCTTGATAATAGAACACATACCTAGTTCTCGTAATTACATGACTGGAAACGAATCCAGTTTTTCATTATATTGAAATGCAGGGTCAAGGCTCTGCAAGGCACTTGACTTTCTTCTGGTGCTGGGGTATAATTAAAAGGCCATCCTAGTATGTTTGTCTACCCATTGCTTTCCCCATGTTTTGTTTGACCTGGAGCCATTTGTTTGCTTTTTGTTGTTGTTTTTTGTAGTGAATTGTAGCATTGATGCAACTTTGTAACTTATGCTGCTTCATATGCCCATGTTCTAATAGTGTTGGTATTTGATTATATTGTAGTCAAACTCTAAATTGGTGACTTTTCAGGGAGGAAAAAGTCATTCAGCAGCACATGAGCTGGAAGCAAAGGGAGCCTTGATTTTCAGGATCCAGAACCAGGTTGGGTCCTGGGTCCCAGTTCCTTGCTTAATGCTTAGCACTTTCCACTGTCTGCTGTAACAAAGAGAGACTTTGCTGTGTTGGAGGAAAACCCAGGCTTCACCCTGGCATCTATCACCTTAGGGTTGTTGGCACTGTGCCCTGTTCTTTGCCTACCTGTAGCTGTCAGAAGCAACGGTGGGGATGTAGGGATCTTCTGGGATACTTTTCTGCTGGAATCAGGCTTCACGTCAAACATCTTTTTAGCTTCTCTAATTCTAAAATACTAACATTTCTAGCCAGAAGCACATAGTTGGTTTCTTATGAAACCACTTGTTACTCAGATGAACATTTTGTGTGTAAGGGGAAGTCATACTTAAATGGTAAGACTGATAGGGCTTTGTTGCTGTACAAGTCTAAAAATAGGATCTGTCATGTTGAAGTCCTTTAAGACTTCAAAATGTATGAATTTGCTTACTCTAATATTATCTTGACTTATTTCAGAAGTCCTGCCAGAAACCTGTAGACAAGTATATCGAGTGTGATCCTGTTATCATCCTGATCAATGCTATTCTGTGCAAAGCCCAGGCCTACAGGCATATTCTTTTCAATACTAAGATAAATGTAAGTTGTGATGATTACTAAGTTTTTAACCTTAGTGATGTTGCTTTTGCATTTTAAAAGAACAACAGTTTTGAACAGAATTAAAGAATATTATTGAGAAAACTAACTGGAAGTTTGTAGAAATATCAGGTGCTCTTGGCCTAGTGGGTGTGTAAGAATGTGATCACGGCAGGAAGCTAACAGCCATGGCTGGGATTAGCTTCTAGTGGGCTACCTACTGAAACACTCTTATTCTGGACAGAACAAAACTAAACGTATCCAGGCAGGATAGAAATATACCTAAAGGAGGTAGCAAGCATCAAAAGAAAATACCCTGAAACACTATTCATGCCATTTTACCTGCTTCCCCACAGGAATGTATGAGGAGAATAGCAACATCGAGTTTAGTCTTAAAAGTACTAACCTAAGGATTTGGATTTTTGAACATAAGCATTTGGTGTATTGAATTGTAAGCTCTTTAATAGGTTGGGCACAGTAAAGTACAAGATACCCAGGTAAATTTGAAAATCAGATAAACAAAGAAAACATTTTAATATAAGTATGTCCCAAGTATTTCATGAAACAGAAAACAAACCATTTGTTGTCGAGCTGAACCTCAAATTTCACTGGTGTCCTATGTTTTCATTTGCTTAACCTAGCAATCCTGGATTTGGGCTCATGTGAAAATTAACTGCCGTTGTTTTTTTTCCCTACCCTGCCCCTCAAGTTGAATAACCAGGACATTGATCCTGAAACTTCACTACACTGTTAGAGTCATGGTTGAGTGTGGGGGGGGTGAGCCTTCCACACTGAGGCCCCCCCCAGACCACATCACTCAGAACTTTTGGGTTTTGAGTTTACAGGCTTCTGTGTTCACCAGCATGAGCCCAGGAGCCTCCAACCAGAGGCTGGTGCCTGCCCCTTCACGCTGGGTTCCCACACACTCTCTTCCCCTCTGCTTGATAGTGATAGACAAAGCCTAATGTATACAGAAATGTCTAGGAGTGAGAACTGATTCTTACTGCTTAGTACTTTCAGACTCTCAAGAACTTCCAGCTTATTTCTACCTTTTAATTGTTCTCATTCATTGTATTAATTTAAACTCATTCAGCCCAAAGGCAATTTTTTAAATTCATGTTCAGATTAATAGTTTTCTGTGTGGTATCATAGAACCTTCATATTAAATGTATCCTCTCATTGCTGTTACCACCTGAGGGTGGGTCGCATAAATTTTGTGCTTGGTTGGGTGTATCAGGCAAATGTCAAAAACAGGACAAAGATGAACTATTTAAAGCAGTCATTTTTAATGAGGGAGGCATATTAGAGTCCCCACAGGAATTGCTTCAAAATATACCTGTCTAGGTTTTTCTACCAAAAATCTGACTCAGGACTTGGCCTAGATGTTTGAAATTTAAGAAATCTCCCATGTGGTTCTTGCCGATTAGGAACCACTGACTGACAGAATGAATGTAGTTAGCTGAACTGAATTTCAGCTTACCTGAATTTGAAATTGCCTACATGGTACATTGTTCAAAACTACATGCTTAGCTCCAGCACTGCCTGCTGGCACTAAATACAACAGAGTGCTGCTTTTCCTGACTGAATGGCATTGTCTCTTTCCGTCAGATCCATGGGAAACTCTGCATGTTTTGCTTGCTTTGTGAAGCATACCTGAGGTGGTGGCAGCTGCAAGATTCAAACCAGAACACCGCCCCTGACGACTTGATCCGATATGCCAAGGAGTGGGATTTCTATAGGATGTTTGCTATTGCTTCTTTAGGTAAGCAACACCTCACTTGTCATTCTGAGTTGTTCTGATTAAAACTAAGACACAAGGTCCTAGTCCTTGGTAAGAGGAGCTAGTTAGTACAGACTTGAGACGAATTGTTCAGCTCTGCTGCTACCCTGCTGGTGAGTTTGTCTAAACCACTTGCCTTCTTTTTTGTCATCAAACATGTGGTGTGACACTCACCAGATGAGAAAAGTTTTATGAACTACTTTGAAGCATAATGAACATACTTTGAAAAGTTTTATGAAATACTTTGAAGGTGTCATTTTAAGTTCTGCTCACTCTTTGAAGATTAGGTAGATCCCATCTTTATCAAAACGGATTGATAATTGCCAAATATGACTAATCTGTACTAACTGCATTATGCTAATCCAGAAAATTTAATAGGAAAGCCTGTTACTTACCTGACCACATACAGGGAAATTGGCCGCTCCCAAAACTTGTTGTGTCTGGAAGGTGCCTTTCTTCAGAATTCACATTTATGATTTATCTTTCCAGGGTCAGCATTGTTTTAAGTTAAATTCCATGATTTACTGCTAGTTTCCGTACTTCTCTGCTTCTAAATCCTTGATTTAAGTCGATCATGGTTGCACATGGGGGTTGAGGAGTTTGAGGCCAGGCTAAGCAACACAGAGGACTCTTTCTTAAAAAAATAAATAATCAAGAGCTAGCGAAGTGGCTCAAACAGTAACAGCACTCGCCTAGCAAGCATGAGGCCCTGAGCTCAAACCCCAGTGCCGCCAAAAAATAAATTTTAAAGTAATAAGTAAATCATTAAACGAATCATGAACTGTTATTTTAGTAGTTCTGTCTCCAGCCCACTACGGTGTCATGTTTCTGAGCCACATGCCCTCTTGCCCTCTCTGTTGGCCTTTGTCACCCTGGTCATCTCAGCTCTCTGCTGGGAACTCCCAAGTATCCATCTCAATCTCGACCTTCCTCCTGACCTTGAAACCTGGTCCATTTGCTTCTCAACAGCTTGTAAATCACTGTGTCTGAATCCCAGCTCCTATGCCTCCACCCACATCCTCCCCATCACAGCCACAGGCCCTCCAGGTTCTCATGGCTGGGACCAAAGCACCCTGTCAAGTCTCCAGGAAATCCCTGACCTGCTGCTGCACTGCACTGCTCTCCACTCCTTCCGTAACTGGAGGAGCATAGGAGCCTCCTAGTTTCTAGCCCTGCTCCCATAGCCTGTGTCCCACAGACGAGTCAGACCATGCGACCTCTGCCCGAACGCAGTAGCTCCCCATTTACTCGGGGTAAAAGCTGAAGCCTTCACACTTGGCCACCAGCCCTCAAAATGATACTTGAAATGTACAGAGGAAGACGCTAACATTTACATCTCCTGAAACAACAGTACTAAAAACACACTTGGTATCACCTGCAAGATGTAGAACTTAGTATGATTCAAGCTTTGGCTGGGCATGGTAGCTCATGACTATAATCCCAGATACTCAGGAGGTAGAGGTGGGAAGATCACAGTTTGAGGCCAGCCTGGGCAAAAAGTGAATGAGCTGGACATGGTGGTATGTGCCTGTTATCCCAGCTACATTGAGGGTGTAAATAGGATTGTTGTCCAGGCCATCCAAGCAAAAAACTCAAGACCCTGTTCAAAAAAATAACTAAAGCAGAACTGATGGAGCAGCTCAAGTGGTAGAGCACCTGGCTTTGCAAGCACAAAGCCGTAAGTTCAAACCCCAGACCCACCAAAAAAAAAATAAAATAACTAAAGCAAAAAGGTGTGGGGGCATGGCTTAAGTGGTAGAGCCCCTGCCTAGCAAGCATGAAGCCCTGAGCTCAAACCCAGTAACACCAAAAGCATTAATAAATAAAGCAAAGCTTTAGCCAGTATGGTAGTACACACCAGTAATCCCAGCCCTCTCAAGGCTGAACAGGAGAATAGAGAGTTCAAGGCCACTCTGAGCTACATAGAAAGACCTCAAAATACCAACAGTTGGGAAGGTAGCTCAGTGGTAGAACACTTGCCTAATGTGCTCCAGGCCCTTGCTTTGATCCCCAGCACTGCAAAAAAAAGACAGCAGCAGCAGCAAAGCCTGATAATACCCAAAGATAAACGGCTACATGTCCATATTTTTTTTTTATCTAAGTAAAAAACAAACCAGGCTTGTTTTCAGATAGTTAGGAATTCAAATAGCAACTACTCCATAGTGGATATTTTGTCACTTCATCAGAAATTTCCTTCACCTGTTACATTTTTATGTTCCTTAATCTAATCTCTAATTAGATTGTAAAGCCCTGAAGAAGTTTATTAAGAAGAACTTACCTAAATGTAGCATTTAATAGTTTACAAGTTTTATCTAATGTGATTTTCACAAGCACCCTCTGGGGTAGGCAGGTTCAGGGTTCCCCCCTGTCTATGGCTCTGGGAATAGTCAGAGTAAATGATTCCCTGGTCCTGCAGTGGGTCACTGTCCCTGCAGGATGTGAAGCAGCCCCTGCTAGTGGGCCTCATGGCCCAGAGCCCGCAGAAATGAGGCCCTAAAACACTGCTCGGAAAACCTCAGAAGACACTGCAGACCCGAAGGCTGGCGTGCTTTTGCAGAAGGATGGAAGTTAGCTCAGCCTGGCACTCCATGTGAGAATCCTTCTCTCAAGGGCCTGAGACATGTCTCCAGTGATGGGGAAAGCTGCCTCACTGGGTGGTCCTTCTTATTCCTTCTGTCCACAGTTCGAGCTTTACTCTGCTCAGTAAGTAGTTGGACAGTGCTCAAGGAAAACATCTGCAGGTGCATGTGTGATGTCTGCCATCCTTAGGATGGCCAGTCTTCCAGACCTAGATGCCTCTGTCCTGTTTTCTTTCTTCAGTGGATAATGAAAGACTTGATGAAAGCTGTTGAAATGTTTCCTAATCCCGACAGCAGGATTTGACACAAAAGCCAGGGTATGATTTTTTAAAAGAAGAAAAACTGTAACTGTTAAAGCGTTTCTTATGAAATCAGCTGATCATCTTAGATTTCAAATTGAGCTTTATTTCTTTGTAGAGGGATAAGACTTGGATAGAGACTTCTGTATCTTTATTTCTCATTTCCTCCCTAGAACAAACTGCCTTTTTTATTGGCATTTTTACTTTCCTGTGGGTAGAGCGACCCATGACAGCAAAAAAAAAGCCCAACTTCTTTTTGCTGCTGAAAGCGCTGTTGTTATCAAGCTACGGAAAGCTCCTGCTGATTCCAGCTGTCATCTGGGAACACGACTACACACCTCTGTGCCTCAAGCTCATTAAAGTATTTGTCCTCACATCAAACTTCCAGGCAATCAGAGGTCAGTGCTGTTTTCATTCTACCATCTCGGCTTTCAGCCCACATGGAAGCCAAACCTTGGCTCTGGGGCACAGTTTCACCAAACACTGGCGTGCTTCATAGAATCGTAACAGTACCCAGCATGTCTGCAGGGAGTCAGTATTTGTCAAGTGTAACCACATAGCACTTAGTCTTCAGCGTGTGTTCATCTGCATCATCTCTGCGCTGTGAGGATAATAGGGCAGCCATTGTTGCTCGGTCCTGTGAATGAATTCGTGAGCTGTGAGGAGTGAGTGGCTTGTCCAAAGTTACAAGCTGGGTGGTTGTCAAGCCAGGGTAGAACAGCAAGTACTGCCATGCATGCCGCACAGTACTTGCTCCTTCAGAAAATGGGCCTTCATCTTCCTGTGCACTGTGAAAAGTGCTGCCTGTACTTATCAGAATGCTGGTCATCTTGCAGAGGGACCCCGCAAGGATCACGTCTGTTTTTGTCTTTAAAATCTTAGAGTCTGTTTTTCATTTTCCCTTTAATCTTGATGTGACTTTGCCTCTTGGTCTGAGGAGAAGTTTGGTTGTAAGCAGAGACTTTGATTCCCTCAAAAGGTTTGCAGATGGGACTGGTGGAGTGGCTCAAGTGGTTAGAGCACCTGCCTAGCAAGTGTGAGGCCCTGAGTTCAAACCCTAGTGCCACCAAAAAAAAAAAAAAAAAAAGGTTTGAAGATGGCCACACAGGGAAAGAAAATACATTGATTAATAAGAGTGAGGGCAAATTTCCTAACAACAGCTTTACAAAACAGTTCCCATCACCTCATAATCTATATGTGTCATTTAATTAAATTCTTACGAGAGAACCTGCTCTCCTTCTTCCCAGTGACTTTGAACATCAACCGAAAGCTCTCCTTGCTTGCTGTCCTGAGTGGCTTGCTGCTGGAGAGCACCATGGTCTACTTCTTCCAGAGGATGGAGTGGGATGTGGGCAGTGACTGTGCCATCTACAAGTCTCAGGATGTCTGAAAGTACACAAGCGTGTGGGCTCCTCCTCGCCTTGGATGAGGAGCTGTAAATAAGTAGGCACCACACGGGGCCCATGCCTCTCGTCTTGTTGCCCTGGGTCACCGTCATCTTCCTCAAGAACTGGTTCTTCACTTGAGTTCCATTTGTCATCTTCAGTGACAGCAGCGTCCATCCCTGGTTTTACTGCTTCTGGGATCCTCTCCTCACAGTTGAGCATGTCCTTCCTACTCTTGAAGGACTTGACAGCCATCTGACACCCCCTCCCAGCCATCTTCCCTCCCTGCACCTCCCCACTTACCTCTGTCCTTTCTCTGCTCTGCATCTGAACCCATCGAGAGCTGTGGCCAGCTGCCAAAGGTTCTGTATCACCTCATGGGGGCCATCCAGGCGGCCTCACCATCTGTGTCTACTCAGGGTTCGAGTCTCTTGCTCCATCTCTGCAGCACATGCCTCTCCACTGCTCCCTTCTTCATAATAACCTCCAGGAACCCAACAATAAAGGGCCTGAGAGTGGAGTTGTGACCTCTGCCATGGCCCCTAGCCTGTTCCTGCTCCTGTGCTGAGTCCAGCCAGTGGCCAGTTGCCTGAACTCTCTCTTCACTTCAGAACCTCTTTGTGTTTTTCCCTCCGTCTCTCCTGGGACTGTTCCTGACCCACAGGGGTTCCTTTCCTTCCACATGAGTAAACAGGATCCTGGGATGCAGAAGGCTGTGTCCGGCACCCACAGGGAGATATCACTCCTTCCTCTGTCTATGGCATCACCGTGCAGACAGGCTCTCCTGTATCGCTGCTGCTCCATCTCACACTCTTCCTCTTTGGGTCTTCAGAGATGCTGCTGCTTCATCTGTTCTCCTTCCTCCACAGTGGCTCTTTCCCCTCAGCCTATGCACATGCATAGTTGTTTATCTGGACCAATCTAAGCCTGCTTCCTCCACTTCTTCACTGCTTTTCTCCGAGTCTCTTGAATCCACAGTCCTAAAGTTACAGGGAAGCTGATTGCTGACTAATCTTCACAGACTTTGTCCTCCCTGAGCTCCTCCTGAGACAGGACACCTGCTCCCATCCTGTCACATCTTCTTCCCTTCCTGTGCAGGGCTGTGTCCTCTGGGCTCCTCTTTCCCTCCTGTGCCACCACTGGGCAACTCCTTCCTACAGGGCTCATGCCTCCAGCTCTCCCTTTATGCCCTGGTGTGGGCCCTGCCCCCTGCGCCTACCTAACACCAGGACAGTCCTGCCATTATCAAAGATCAGTGTCATCCACCTGTGCCCTGCCCAAGCAGAGTCCCTGCCTGACAGCTTCCCTCTCAAGTGTCCCTCACCTGTTTCACTTAGTGCAGCTTAGCCCTCAATGTCTCCTGCCTGACACCGTAACAGCCTCCAGCCTGTACTGATGCCACCTGAATCTTCACAAAGCACAAGTCCCGGGGCCCTCTGCAGGTTCTCCAGCCGTTCTTCACACTGACGCAGGGCTTTCTAGTCTCTTCCAGGGCACATCTTAGTTTTCTCTAAGACTTAGTATGGCCCACTGTATTTGGTCCCTGGCCCTACAGTTAGGAAAATAAGCCCACATTCTTAATAACCACTAAAGAGCAGTGTCCTGCTTCATGCTTGTCTCCTGTTGAGATTTCACCTGGCCAGATGTGTGGTCCTGGGAGAGACCATGCATCAGCCCCTCCCTGTCCAGTACAGCCCCAGCCTGCCTCAGAAGCATTTCCCCTGTGGTGGTCAGCAGTGTGAGTCTTTGTAAGACTTCCTCTGTTGTCCACAGTTGATTCTTTTGTACTGTCTGTGGCATGACCAACTGCATCCAAAAGCGAAGACATGACTGGAAACCAAGCACCTCATGTCTGATGAATGAAGTGAAGCTGAGACTGGGGCCACTTCTGAAGGCAGTGTGTGGAACAGAAACCCAGCCCACCCTCCTGCACCCTCCTGCACTGCTCAGACCCAAGTGCATGCACGCACACACACAGGGAGTGGGGCTGCAGGCACTGGTGTGTGCACCCAGGCAAGATCTGAATGCTGTAGGCAGCCCACGTGAGCGCTTATGATTCACACACAATAAAAGGTTTTATTCCTTTGCATGTTTGTATCTTTTAAATTTAAGTGTTAAGTTACTGGCTTAAAATAACATTTTGTGCTCTTGCCAACAGTAGAAATACTTTTCTCCTATAAAGGCTTTCAGAATAAACTGAGTTTTTGTAACTTTTCAACTCAGTAAATTACTGTTTAAAATTGGCTGATCCAGGGCTCAGGTGTGGCTCACATGGTAGTGTGCCTGCCTAGCAAACTCGAGACCTGAGTTCAAACCCCAGTACCACCAAAAAGATTCCCATCTGTTTCCTTTTTTTTGAGATAGTCTTGCTATGTTGCCCAGGCTGGTTTTGAACTTCTGAGCTCAAGCAATCCTCCCACCTCAGCCTCTGATGCTGAGACTACAGACTGGCACCACTAGGCCTAGCTCATTTCCTTATTACTGACTTACTCATTCCAGGACTGAGCATCTCCTGTGGGCAGTCAGACATGGCTCTCTAGAAGCTTACTGCACAACAGTGGTCCAGAAGTTTGGAAATTACAGTGGCTGTCTGAGAATGGGGAGGGGCAGGAGGGTCCTTTTCTGCATCGCTATTTTGGGGTAGCCATGCCTGTCAGTCCTAGAGTGTGCAGGGATGGCTGGGGAGAGTGTTCAGTGGGGACTAGGGGCGTTGAAAGGCAAACTCCAGAAGGAAATTGTCAATTTAAAACAATTATTGAGGGTGGGGGATGTGGCTCAATGGTAAAGTGTGTGTTTTGAACACACAGATCCTGGGTTCAGTCCTCAGCACCAACAAAACCAGCAAAAACAGAACACATTACGATAGGATTGCAATCTTTATCTGGTTTGTTAACTCAGGTAAGTGAAGATAAACACATCACCCATTTATAAATTCATAATATACAGCCTTCCCCCTCTTCCAACCCCCTCACCATCTTTTTTGGCAGTATAGGAATTTGAACTCAGGGCCTCATGCTTGCTAGCAGATGCTCTACCCCTTCAGCCACTCCACCAGTGTCAAACCCCGCCCCCATTTTTCTTGATACCACAAAGATAGCTGCTAATCTTTGAAAGGAGTGTTAGGATTGGGTGCAGAGGTGGCCCAGACCCACCAGCTGCAAGGTAGACCTACCCAATCTGTCTCCAATCTTTGATCCTGAGAAGAGGAAGGGCCAGACTGTAGGAGGAAGTCAAGTGGTTCGCCCCTCCACTACCTCCAGTCTATGAGAACTGTTGGGCTGAGACAAGGAATCTGAAGCAGTGTGTCATGTCACCTGAATACCTGTTTTTTTGAGGTGGGGTTTTTCTTTATGAGCTTAACCCTTGGGTGAGCTGTGCACAGCCCTAACCACTTTCATGCTCACTTGAGAGCTTTTGGAAAATGATCGATACCTGTACTTAAGGCCCCCTCCCCTCCGTTTTAATTAGAAAGTGATGGGTGGGCATCCGTGGCTCTAGGGAGCTGAGCCCAAGCCCGCAGGTGGGTGTGGGAGGTGTGTGTAGCACAGAGTTGTGCCCCACCATGCACTCTTTTTAGATGAACAGTATCTCTGCTCTTGTTCCCAAGATCACAATGAAATGCAATTTTTAAAAAGTGGTTTCAGAAGCCAGGACAAGGGAATTCAGGGCAGGACAGATAAAATGAAGCAGGTATAAACTGGCACAAGTAGCCCTATCATGACAAAAAGAGGAGTGTGCACCTGTTTGCAGAACATCCATGAGGCAGTTCTGTCCCTCATTTCAAGTCAGTGCTCAGCTCCAGAGCAGGGGCTTGCCTGGCATTTCCCTACCAGGTATCTGTTCAAGGTGACCCTGGGGAGTACAGGGAAGAGGCAGGATGGCCCTTTAAATGCCACAGGGGAGACAAGACTTGCATCCATTCTGACTCTCAGCAGCACGGAGAGTACCACACACACCTGGCAACTTGAGCCTTTCAGCTCCTTGCCTTGCCTGTCTTCTGCCTTCCTGGGCCTTTGATGATGTTACAGGTAAGGATTCTTTCTGCTCTGAGGAGCCCTGCTCAGATTTGGGAGGGGGTGTTGATTCAGGGGCAGTGGGCATAGCTCCTATTAGGTGATTTTTTTTTGGCACCCCCCCCAACCGTGCCAAAAAAGATAATATGTCTCTGGAACTTATAAATGTGACCTTAGATGGAGACAGGACCTTTGCAGAAGTGACTGGTGATCTTTGGGAGATTATTCTGGATTATCCACGGGGGCCCCAAATGCCATCAGTGGTGTCTCTGTAAGACATGGAGGGACCCAACATGCTGAGGCCATGTGAAGATGGGAGAGAGATGGAGTGAGGCACTGAGGGAGAAGTCAAGGAAGGAAGGGGCCCCCTGGAGCTGGAGCTGGAGCCTGGCTGTGTTTACAGATGCCTTGCTTTTGACTCAGGGAAGCTGAGTTTGCACTTCCCGCCTACAGAACTCTGGGAATGAAGGTGTGGTTTTTAGCCACCTAGCATGTTGTCATTGTTGGTGCAACCACTGGCACTTCCTGCAGATTCCTGGGCGCTTTCGTGCCTTTCCCGTAGCGCTTCACCTTTGCAAAGGTGGGCCATCACCACTCCACCTGCTGACTCAACACTGGAAAGATACTTCCTGCAGAGCTCAAAGTCAGCTTTAGTTGGCAGGCATCTTCCATAGTCATTATGGCGATTAAGTAAGTCAGTAATTGTAAAGCCCTCAAAATAATGCCTGGTGGAAAGTAAATAGCATCCATAAGCATTTACTAATAGGAATAAATAGGCAGAATCTTGCCTTGGGCCCTGACTCCTCTCTTGGGTGATGTTCTTCCTCTGTTGCCTTTTCAGGAGCCAGAGAGTATTTTAGATTTAATCTTGAGTTAAGAACTTCATTCAGGATATATTCCTACTTTTATAATGAAAGGCACATTACAACTTTCAAGGGTCAGAGGCATTCCACCGAGGGAAGAATACAACGAAATACTCCCTTGGAGTCTATCTTCCCTTGGAGACAGACTCAATTTAAACTTGGGTCCTGTTATTGGAGATCCCTATTTATTTAAGACTCTTTGTTTTCTACTCCCAGTAGTAGAAGTAATAGTAATTTATTCTCTTTCTCAATAAAGGAAGACGATCCCCAGAGCACCACTGGACTATGAGTAGAGGCCAATATAGACCTGGGACCCTCCATTAGACCAAGAACAGAGCCACAGTGGACCCAATCCTGTCACTTGTACTTGTGGGGCTGAGTGAATTCTTCACCCATTCTAAGACTCATTTTAAAAATGTCTTTGAGTTCTCTGATTGCTTTCTGTCTTGCAAGTATCTAAAAATACCCTTTCTTTGGCTCATATATACATGATGTTCTCTTCCCAATTTGGTTCAAAGGGCTGCAAACACTGGTAGAAAATCTAACAAAAGCCCACTTGTCTATTTCCCATGTTCCTTATTAGTATACAGTGATCTCACAAACTGCATGTTCTCTCATCTGGTTATTGGCTGTGTTGAAAACTCAAGTGCTAACAGTTGGCTGTTACAAGTGTTAAGTGTTTTTTTTCTTTTTGGTTGTTGTTACTGTTTTTGAGACAAGGTTTCATTAGGTAGCCCAGGCTGGCCTTGAACTTATGACCCTCCTGCCTGTGGGGCTAAACATGTGCATCCCATACCTGCTTAAAATTGTTTATAACTGTGGTTAAAAGGCAGGTTTTCTTCGACAGCTAGAGTGCATGTGCTTTTTAATCAAGGTAGGATATCTAAAAGTGAGTTAATTTTTGCATCTCCAAGTGGCTTTTCACCTAAATATATTTTTGTTGTTGTTACACCACATTCTAACTTTGGGGAGAGGGCTTAGAGCTGAGCGATGCTGCCTGCTCTCTGGAATGGTGTGTAAAATGGACTTTAAAAAGAAGTCAGCACAAAATGAACAACTATAAAATCTAGGAGTGAACTTTTCATCAAAAGATTCTTTCCACTTTTTTGTCTTTAAAGTTTTTCACAAAAAATTCTGAAAAGCACTGAGGGCTGTGGGGTGACTGCAGAGATGAAATGAACCCCCAGACTTGGGCATGGGGAAGCCAGCAGAGGAACTGAGCAGAGACTCTTCCTCTGTGTGACACCCAATTCATGAGTGTGGAGCCTGGGACCAGGTAAGGGGTCATGTTGAGTTGCATGCTCCCCCCTCCAACCTGAAGATGGCGATGGTGAGCAATTATCACTGAAAGAAAGAGGAGTCAGCCTGGAATTGTCTTACGGATATTCAAAGTTGTAGCTCGACAGGGTAAAGCTTTCCAAATCCACTTAATGGCAAAACCTCATTTTCTTTCACATTCAGGATTAAGAACAAAATAATACATGGCAACAGCTGGGCATTTTATCCTCATGTTTAACCTACAAAGTAACATTCCCATAAAGTGTGTTAATAAATACATAAGGCCTTGGGCGGGAGGGAGGGCAGTCGGCTGTGTCATACTAGTTACATCCAGAGTCTCTGAAAACCAGCCCTGCCATCCCACAGTGAACGGTGCAGAACTGGGTTGTCGTTTTTATCATCTTCCCTCCTTCTACACCCGATGAAGAATGATCTACAGTTTTCATGGGGTGAGAGAAAGCAGTTGGCTGGTGTGGCAGAAAGGTATTCTTCAGTAGAAAGCTCTCACCCGGGCACCTCGACCATTAGTGATGCAGCTTACAAACCAAGCAGAACAAAGAGTCGAAAAGCTCATTAACAGCAAGAAAAGCTGCAGACCACACTGAGGAGGGGGCACAGTGAAGTGGTTTGCCCACCTCACACACCAGAAGCAGGAACCCTAAACCAAAAACAGTGAATAATCTGGTAAATTGCCCTTACAGAACACCCACTAAGGCCTTCCACAAGAATCCCATTAATCTCACCATAAGCCAACCTCAGGCCTGCCTAATACTCGGTGTCACAGAGTCTAAGTCCCTCCAGGCCACCCAGCAGACCCTGCAGCCATCCCACGCAGATGAATCAGCACTAAACTTGTGGCATTTGTCCCTGCACTAGGGACCATCCGCCACGCAGGGCAGCGCTGCTTTCTTGCAGGAGAAGCAGATGCCGACAGTCTGCCGGGGTCAAAGGCCCCATCTGAAGCCCTAAATGGACTCCAGAATCCAGTTGCTGCTAGACAGCGGGGAGACAGGCAGTGACAAGTCTCGAAGAGGGCCTCGGCCTCTGCCTTCATGGAGAGAGCTCTGCGCTTGGAAGTCTTCCTCCTCCTCGCCGAAGAAGCCGTTCTCCAGGGTGTAGGCACAGTCTGGGCTGGAGGCTGCCTGACACGCTCCCTTGTACTCCTGAATCGACTCGTAAAGGCTGTACAGTTGGCAGAGCAAGGACATGTCCAGCTGGCGAAGGCCAACCTTGAGGGAAGGGTGGGGAGGTAAAAACAAGAAGTCAGCACTGGAGTTTAATTTCAGTTGCGCTCTCAGACGGCAGTCTGCCCAGGCCAGCACATTCCTTCCTTCCACACCGAGAATGACTCAGAGCGGCTTTGCTGGGATGCTCTGGATTTCTACACCTTCCCTGTGCCCTGCCACACCCCCGACATTGCTCAGTGTCTGGAAAGGGTCGCACCTGTAGGGAGTTCACTCTGGTGCTCTTCAGCATGCCTGGTGAAACAACAGCAGGTTTCATGGGGGATGCCAGGTCACAGGGTGTCTGTCCCTCTCCCTAATCAGACTTGCAGAACACCTACATTTGCTTTGCCGTCCACTATGTTAGGGCCTAAGCAATTCAGTCATTCTCAACTCCCAGGGGCACAGAGTGACCAGTTCATCAGTCACTGATGACACACGAGCGCCTGCACATCAGCCTCTACACTGGAGCCCCTAAGTACCCAGGACCATCAGAGGTCAGACCCCCCTCTCCTCTACCTCAGTCCTAACCCACAGTAGCTGTGGAACCCATCCCCAAAGCACCCGGATGACCGTGAAGCCCAGTAAGACATGTCCTTGGCAGCATCCCCTGGAAGCTGTCTTCACAAAAGCAGGTGGTGACAGAAAGGGAACACTTAGAAAGTCACAACTGAGTTCATCTTCAAGTTCTTCCCCAGTGCGATCCTGGAGAAAAGCTGTGAGGACAGGAAATGTCCTTTGTCAGTCACAGAGAGAACGTCAGTCATGACACTCAGAAAGCAGGAGAGCCCAGTGCACCTTAACCTTCAGTGGAGTCGAGAACCATGAGGGGACGTGAGTCAGCAGCCTGGGCCACTGGACGACCGTCTTCCAACAAGCCCTCGCTGATGCTGACCACACAGCTGGACCTGCTGGGAGCCCAAGAGGAAGAAACACTCAGCAAGGAGTTGGAGAACGCCGCCTTCTGTCTGTCCACCCTGAGGGAGTTGCTTACCATCTCTGACAATAGCTTCTCCTGGGGACCTGTGAGGAGGGTCAAATGAAACCCAGTCCATGTCAGGTCCCAGCCCACAGCAGATACTGCCCATGGTAACCGCTCACAACACACGCCACATGTACACGTGACAGACTGCAGAGGAGTTCAGTTTCTATGGCCGCCAGAATGGCTGTTCACTCCACTGATTCTGACTCAGCAACCCCAAATGCACCTGACCCTTCTAGGATTAAGACAAGGAATACTAACTTTAATAAAGTCATACCTCCCATTTGTTTACGAAATCCCACCAGCGCTTCATCAGAAACCTGGACACACTTCTACCCATGCACTCTGACACCTGCAGGGTAACTTTCCAAGATTCTACTTCCCACTTCTGTTCACAATGAACAGATGTGAACGTTCACCTTCCTGGGTCACCTGGGGTCGGTCCAGGGGGAGAAAGGAGCCTGGGCTCGATGGCTCTGAAACCGTGCTAGATGGTAACCCCATGCCACCCAGAGACACATGGCTCCAGGCTGCTCTCCTGAGGTAGTGCTCCCCAGCCACCCACCTCCCCGCCTGCCCTCTCTGCAGTGCAGCACAGCACGGCACAGCAGGGGTGACTCAGAGCTGCTTTGTCACTGAGTAGGACACTGGCCTGGAAACAAGTCTGACCCGCCTAGAGCACTGCGCAGGTCTGCGCACTCCTATTACACAACCGAACCCGTGCCAAGGGCTCAGGCAGATGTAACAGGACCTGCACACGTGAACGCACACGCCTCCGCAGGCCCCGGCTCCTCAATGCCGCCTCGTTCAGGCATCAGACTCAACTTCCTCTGGCTTGCAAGAAACCCTGCAATTAGCTAGGCCTCAGGTAAGTAGCCCCGAGTTCCTGCCCAGGACACCTGGTCCTCCCCTGGGCTGTCTAACACTTTCATTTTGCAGAGCAGCTGAAAACCCTGGGGCTGCACTCCATCACCTGGCCTGCCTGTTCCTCTGCCTCCACCTTCCACCTGCACTGCAGGCAAGCTTCAGGTCAGGTGGAGACCCTTCACCCGAATGGCCCCACCTGGCTCTGAGTTGGTTAAGGCCTCACAGCCGTTCCCACCTCAGGACGCTGACTGCCTCAGCCATACTTCATCCTTTCCCTCCGCGTCTCCACCTGACTTCTGGCATTTCTGCCTACTTTCCACACAGATCCCTTCTCCTGCTGTGACCCATCCCCATTGGGCACCCTCAGCACCCAGACCAGAGCCCTGCAGAGGAGACATGCGGGTGGTGGCTGGAGAACTCGCAGACACCCTACAGAGAAAGCACAGGTGGCAGCAGAAGCCTGGCCTGGAGAGGGTGGTCCTGGGTCCCCTGCATTCCTCAGGCAGGCACAGAGCTAGGCAGGCAGCCCTGGTGCCTACAGCCATCACAGACAGTGCTCCATCAGAACCATGTCTGAGAGGAGCAAGGGGCTGGACCACAGTTCCTCCTGAGGCTCTACAGCATGGAGCAGTCTGGGATGTGGCAAAGGGAAAGAGGGAACATCCCCGGGGGGCTGGGCTGCAGGACACAATGAAGTCCCTTCCAGAGAAAACAGTGAGGCAGGGAGGGAACTGAGGGGACTCAGCAAGCCCTTAACACCTACCACTGGTCCCTTCACCCAGGGGACCTGCCATCCTAGGAAGTGTGCACACATATCCTGGTAGGAGGACAGGGGCTGCTCTCCTCGTCCACAGCTGGATTTAGAAAGCACTGCACCCTTCTGAAAACTGCTGTGAAAACTCAAACAAGCTCATTGAAGAAAAATACAGAACTCCCAGACCCTGCCACTGACGGTCCTTTATTCTAGACCCTGAGAAAGTCTTCCCCTGCCACCAACTGCTAATGTCCTTCCTTCTCTGCTCCTGCTTCCTTCCTGGCCATTCTCCCTTTTCCTGCCAGCTCCCCTCACTCCTCCTGCTGCCAGGTGGCTACCGCCTCGGCCTGGCCTCCTCCCCTCCCCACCCCAATCACTTCCTTTTCCATGCAAAACCTTAACAATAGACTCGACTGTGGGACTACACTAGACCGGACGGTGGGGCCCAGCTGGGGTTTGGTCACTGAAGTCTCAAGAGCATCTGAAGGCTGCAGCAGGGGAGGGGTTCTGAACGCAAGGAGACAAGGCTTAGGAGATCAGACGGAGTTTTAAAAGGAAATTTTTGCTGATTCAAAACATCATGAAAACATAGTGTTTTTAAGGATAAAAACATTTTTAAGAATACTAAGAAACTAGATGTAAAAGTTGAGGTAATTCATTAGTGTGCTAAGAGATAAAAGCAATGTCTTCCCAAATACAGCAGAGTTGAAACACCCAAACATACAGGGAAGTGGTCTTATTTCTGCTCCATGCCACAGTGGAAAAGCAGAGGCCAGGTGGACTGCACCTGTGAGATGACACTCCTGCCAGCCCACTGTCTCCTCTCACTGCCCACCCTCAACCTGGGCAGAAAACCACCAGGTTTAAGAAATGATGGTATAAAACTGGCCGCGGTGGCCAATGTCTGTAATCCCTGCACTCGGGAGACTGAGGCAGGAGGAACAGGAGGTTCGGGCTGGCCTGGGCCACAGAGCCAGCAGGAGCCTGTGAGGGTTGGGGGAGAGAGGGGGAACACGAATGAATTATGGTGTAGCCACAGTCAAATCGGGGCACTCACTCAAGGGGAGGCAGCTCTGTCTATCACAGTGGCCAAGGTGCCGTTACCCCAAAGCTCAGCAGGGGCTCACAGCGCACACAGACAAACTTTTGACCGGAAGACAAAATGTCTGCAGAACTTTCTGGAAAGCAGGACTGGGTGAAGGAGGAGAGGGGAACCATTGCTCCTTCAATTCACAGCTTTCTATCCTGCTTTACATTTCCCCAGCCAGCATATTTCTCTTAGTTTTAAGAGCTCGTAGGGCTGGGGCTACAGTTCAGTGGCCCAGTGCTTGCCTGGCATGTGTGGGGGCTGGGTTCCACCCCCAGCTGCTGGCAGGATTACATACTTCAGAAGCTTTCAGGACCAGCTGACAGGTATCAACAGCCATAAGACACCACATTCCTTTGCTAACTAGCTCATTTCTAGGGACGGGGCAGAAGCCCGGCTGTACACAGGGACGTCCTCCTCCTCGCTCCGAGGTGGGCACTGATTCTGTGTAGTATCAGCTGAGCGTACACCTGGCCAGAGACCATGAGACAGGGACTAGACCATACCCAGGTACCCGTGCAGGACGACTGTGCAGCCTGCCTTGGGGATCACAGCCCATGTTCACGGGGCTTTTGGGCCTGGGCTGCGATGACAGACATACGTCACCATACCTGGCTCGTTGTTTACTTTTGGCTTTTCTGAATTTTCCAGCTTTTCTGCATGAATTTTGCTTAACTTACAGTGAGAGACACCTTCCAGTCATCCTTTAAAAACGTAGTGAGTAAGCATAGACAGACGGCTTGTGAATCATTTTAGAAAAGACTCAGGAAATGGGCAAACGTGATCAAGGTGTCCATCTTGTACCCACAAGACTGCACACAAAGCAAAGAGAGCAGAGGCCCCAGCGGCCGTAACCTGGTTTCTGATAAACATGTGTTGACAGGAGGACGCTGACCTGCACACTAGTCAGATAAAGCAGAGGAAAGGAGGCCAGCAGACGCACCGCCTGAGCTCCGTGGACAGAGCAGCCCCCTTGGGCCCCATGCTGACCTGTGTCATTTGGGCGGCTTCACCTCCTGTTGGTGTCTTAGCCCCCACCAAGCAAGCTTAGGACTTCACTCTGAAGAGCCCTGGTGATTCAGACAGAAGATAAACCCATTTGTGTGGTTAACCCCCCCACCAGACTAAGCCAAGCCCAAAGCTGGCCCCACCCTACACGTACGGGTCAGTTCCCCCCACTAGGTTCCGAAGTCCCAGGTGGGGTTTCTGCTACTGAGTGTGGAGGGCCACTTTGAACCTCATCGTGCTCAGCAACAGGTAGAAGAAAGGCAATTGCACATCTTCATTAAAAATGTCTTTGTACATTCTTTTGACTATAAAAATGAAACATTCTAAGGGCATTAAAAATTCAAATGGCTCACACTGCAAGCTCAGGTACTCAGGGTAGAGACAGGGAAGACTGCAGTTCAAATCAACCCAGGCAAAAAGTTATCAAGATCCCATCTCAGTAAAGTCAGACATGGTGGTACAAGACTATAGTCCCAGCTACTTGGGAGGCCACAGATAAGAGGATGGAGGTTCTCAGGTTGGCCCTTGCAAGAAAATAAGACCCTAACTGAAAAACAGCTAAAGGGGTAAGGCTCAGGTGGTAGAGGGCCTGTCTAGCAAATGCAAGACCCTGAGTTCAAACCTCAGTACTGCCAAAAAATTTAACTTAACCACCTGGATCCATCCAGTCAACCACCTAGGAAGACATCGGTCACTCTCCTTCCCTTCTCGTCTCCACATGCCTTAGTCACCTCCCTCTGCCCACCAGCCCGACTGGCCTTCGCAGAGATAACCTTGACTATGGGGCTCAGGTCAAGGGCAGTGCCCCACCCCATCCGAGGCACAGACTATGCACTCCTGCAAGACCTGACTATCAGGAACAACCAAAGAAGTGGACAGGCAAAACACCAACAGGCCACGTGCCTTAGTGAGTTTCTGAAGTCCTAGAAGGCAGGCCCAGGGATTTTGTCTCTAGGGTCCTATGGAGAATGACCACCTCTGTGCTGAGTGTCTGTGGGGACGGCCATGGGGATGGTGAGGGGGAGGTGGGCTCTGCCTGCAGGATGGCATTGGCCGAGGGCAATATCTGCTGCCCAGCCAGCCTCGGGGCTGATTTCCTGAGTCTGTGGTCCGCACGTGCAGCTCCTACCACAGGGTCGGGGGAAATGGCTTTGTGAGGGGAATCTGACATCCCTGTCCCTGTGGTGTTTACAGTGGCTTTCCTTGAGCAAAATCATGGCGCCTCCAGTCGCTGCTTTGTGGGAGGGACCTGCAAGAGGCCATCATGGGCTTCTCAAGCCGCCCTACATATCCTTGTTCCCACCAGCCTCCAAGACAGAGCTCCGGCAATGCAGAGACCAGGGCCTGCGCAGTGGAGGGTGCTGAAGTCCTCAAGGTGCAGAAGCACAGGGGCTGAAGTGAGGAGGTACCCATCATGCCAACCAGTGGGACACCCAGACGTTTACATGTAACCACGGACGGACGCCTTCAGCTAAAAGGGGAAGAAGGAGCAGGGTTGTGCTACTTGTAAGGCACTTGTGAGTTTGGTAAACGATCAGTTGATAGTTTGCTATAGCTTGGTAAATACCAGATGAAAGTTTAAAGTGCTATGAGAAAATACCTCTTCTAATCACAGGACTACGACCACCATGACCTCGCCTGGCCGTCCTCGCCTGCAAACTGTCCTTCTGTGGGGAACATGGTCTCACCAACTTAATAAAATACAATGCTGTCCTTGTCACTACTAGCTGGCCCAGGCTAGCCAAGCTACCAAAACTGGGCAATCGGTGTCCTTCTGCAGTATTTACAAACTGGAACTAAGTATGGCCAAAACTGAGCCTCAATATGTCAGGGCCAAGTTCCAACAGGAGGAAACGCGGAAAGTGCAGGGGAGGGAGAACCCCTCAGTGCAGTCTGGCTCTGGTCTGTCTCTGCACACGTCCAGCCCTTTCATAAGCGCCTCCTTTTGCAAAAAGCTACTTCCAAGTGCATTTCTAACACTAACAGAGACTTCCGCAGAGAAGAATGAGCACCTCCAGATTAAGCACATCCCGCAGGTGTTACCTGCTGCTGAACGACCAGGCATGTCCCACTTGTCCTCGTATTCCCCACAGTAAGCATGCTGAACGTGACCTAAAAACACTCTCCGATGTGGAAATAGCAAACGTCTTTAAAAGGACTTTTTCAGTTCTTGCTTTTACAGAGCAAGTGGCTACAGAACTTCACAGATGTGGCTACCAGAATAGGAAGCACAGACACTTGGAACTGAAGCCATAAACTGCACAGAACAGGGTGTCACCAATCATGGGACCGAATCCTCTGCCCACGTGGGCCCCCACCTCTCCGCCCTGGACAGCAGCTCCCCCAGACTCCACCCGGTGCCCTCAGTGCCCCTCCTGTGAGGTGGTATTTGCTTCCCGGGGTTCTCTGCAACCCAGGTCTCTCTTCCAGCCTGCAGCTCCGCCTTCTGAGATGTAAGTGCTCGCCACTCGTCCCCAAGACAGCCACTCGTCCCCACCCACTGCTGCAATGCAAGGAACCCCACCTGCCCATTATCAGGGTTCAAGAGGAGACACCTCCCATTGCCACACAAAGACACAGTGTGTAGTCACCGGAGACAATTACATAGGTAGTGACAACAGGTGTGACAAAGGCATCCCAGAACACACAACGTGATCCACGTGCACAGAGTACAGTGGGTGATGATTAGACAGGGCTCTGGGCAGGATCTGTGACAGCAGGGGAGTTAAATGCTGATAATCTGACTTTTTAACATAAAATAGACTTTAAGAACGCATCCCACAGAAAACTTCTAAGGCTTGAGTAAGTCAATGTGTAGGAAGCGCTTGTTTTGTTATTTTCAAACAGGGTTTCCCCATGCAGCACAAAGTGTCCTGGAACTCACTATACAGGCCAGGTGGCCACAAATTCACCTTCTTCCTGCCTGTCTCCTGGTGCTGGGATTACAGGCATGAACCACCGGGTCTGCCAAAAGTACTCATTTTTTGCCTCTATATAAGCTATCCAAAAATATTAGCAGTGATCATATCTGTGCCAGGACTGTAATTTTTAATTGTTTTGCTTTGATGCACTTTCCATAAAAAAAAAAGCTTGAAGCATCTTTGATTCCTTTTTTGTCACCTTTGTGGACTCTGACATTTAATTAGCAGTTCCTGTAGCTTATTCTAGCTTCTGCCTCCAAAACCCAGCTCCCACTGGACTGTTCAGTGTTGCAGAACCCAGCCCTTCTGGGCATCTCCCAGGGAGCCTCCTCCCTCTCTCCTGTGCCTGCTGCGTGCCGTCCTCCTGCTGGTGGAGCCCGTGATACCCAAGCTTCCCACACCACTAAGGCCACCTTCCGTCCCCTTGCTCAGGCTCGTGGTGGTCGAGCTGCAGGCTCACAGTGCTAGCTTTCTGCCCCTTCCCTTCCTGGTGCCCTTCTTGTTGAGTCCTGTCACCTGAGGTCTCCACCCCTCCAGGACTGCAGGTTTTCTAAGAGACACCCTCCCCTTCTCTGCAGGACCTGTGATATCTAGTTATGTCCCATCACAGATGTGACCTCAGGCCTTCAAATGACCTAGAGCCACACAGACATTCTACAGAAGATTCTGGAGGGAACCCAGAGCCCCAGCAGTAAATCTCTTAAAGAGACAGTGCTTTTAAAGATCTAGTGACAGTTCTTGAAAAGGGACTTGTCAGGACCTGTAGCCATGCAATCTTTATTACAGCTGAGTATCAGACAGAGGAAGGGAGGCTGTTTCTTAGGCTGAGAAGCCCTCTGGCCTAAGGCATAATTATAAGCTTGTGACTGTCCTTTATTCACACCAGGAGGGAATGGCAGCTGGCTCCCAAGCCATTACAGCAACCTCCAGAGCCTCTTATTCAAGAAAGGAATTCAAAGCAGGGCAGGGTGGCTCATCCTGTAATCCCAGATACCTGAGAGGCAGAGATGGGGAGGATGGAGGTTTGAGGCCAATCCCAGGCAAAAAGTTCACAGACCCAACAAAATGCTGGATGTGGTGTACGCCTATCTTCCCAGCTATGCAGGAAGCCTAAGTAGGAGGATGCCGTCCAGGCTTACTTGGCAAAGGAAAAAAAAAAAAATGAGACCCTACCTCAAAAATAGCCAATGCAAAAAGGAGTGGGGAAGCGGCTCACGTGGTAGAGAGTCAGCCTAGCAAGCTGGAGGCCCTGAGTTCAAACACCAGTACCGCCCTCCTCCCCAACCCCCAAAAAACAGGAACTAAACACCCAGGTGGGTCTTCCTGTTTCGCCCCACTCTGTATGTTGGAGTTCAGCTGTAAACACACTGGGTTGCACTTATCTGATAAAAACGCTGTTCGCTGGCCGCACCACCCTCGTGCTCGTGTTTATTAATAAATAAAAATGGTTGGCTTGGAGCTTAAGTGGTTCTGGAGGACGCCTAGAACATCTTTTCAGAGAATTAGGAATTACTTCAACGCCAGCGGCAGAGTGGGAGGCAGGATCTAATTAAGAGTGAAGAAGCTGCTGTCTGGATTCAATTACGTCTTGGTTCTCGCAACAGACACAGACGCTCCTGGAAAACCACGGAGGCATGAACTGAAATTTTCTAAACAATATGCTAAATGCACCAGGTGACTTAAAGGCTCAAATCCTTTAACAATTTCGGTGACTTTATTCTTGGGGTGGGGGGGAAGCGGCTTTTCTGTATTAGGTTTCCTTAATAAAGTACCTGGCCTAGGGAAGGCAGATCGCGGACAAGGGGACGGCCAGGGAGGAGGGTGGGGTCGGCGTTGTGTCCCCTCGGCCCCCGCGCCCGGGCGGGAAGGAGGGCTGGGCAAGGCTGGCTGCGACCCGGATCCCGGTCGCGGACCCCTAACTCGGTGTCCCGGTGCAGGAACACCAACTGCGCCGCCCAGCCCTGGAAAAATTAAGTCCCGCTGCCGGGACCAGACACAGCTCCAGGGAGTCACGGGGCGGCCATCGAGAATGGAGGACGAGGACAGCGGCCTCGCCGGGTCCCCGATCACGGGCTGCGCGGCCGTCCGCCCCCTCCGGGACGCAGGAAGCTCCGCGCTCAGTCCGGATCTCAGCGCGGCTGTTCCCTCTGCGGTCCGCCCACCCCGCGCCGCGCGGACCGCGGGCTCCCCGGGGAAAGGACGCCCCCCCACCCGACGGCCCCCGACGGCCGCGCCCCGCGCCGTCTCACCATCTCCTTGCGCAGCAGCGCCAGCGCGGCGTCCAGGTTCGGGGGCTTGGCGCGGAGCCCCGCCGCCCGCGCCCCGCCGCCCGCGCCCCCGCGGCTCAGCTCGTCCTGGATGCGCGACTTCTGCGCGTACAGCCGCTCCAGGTGCCGCCAGCCGCCTGCCGCGCCGCCCGCCGCCGAGTGCAGAAGCCCGCTCAGGCTCTTGGGCAGCGGCGGCAGCCCGTCCACCCGCAGCCCGCGCGCCGCGCCCGCCGCCCCGGCCATGCTCATCGTGTCCCGCCCCGCCACGCGCCGGCGCCCGCCAAGGTCCTGGGAACCCCGCGGGGCCGCGCCCCTTGCCGCCACGCCCACTGTCCGTCCGCGGGACTCCGCCCACCACCGGGCCCCGCCTACTGCCCCTCGGAGTCACGCCCACTGCCCCCCCCGCCCGGGAGGGCCCCGCCTACTGCCCCCATGGGACCACGCCCACTGCCGGGCCCCGCGGCCCCACCCCAGCGGGACCCGCCCACTGCCCCCTCCCGCCCCCCCGCGCGGGACCCCGCCCCCTCCGCTCCCTCTGAGGCCCCGCCAGGAGCGCGCGCCCATCGAGGTCCTGGGAGCCCCGCGGAGCCCCGCCCACGGCCCCGCCCTGCGGGCCCCGCCCACTATCCCACCCATCGGGCCCCGCCCACTGCCCCGCCCTGCGGGCCCCGCCCTCTCCGCACCCTCTCTGTGGCCCCGCCGGGAACGCGCGCCCACCGAGGTCCCCGGAACCCAGTCCACTTCTCGCCCCGCCCACTGCCAGGCCCCTTCCACTGCCGGGCCCCGCCCCCTCCGCTTCCTCTGAGGCCTCCGTGGTCCCGAGACCCTGCCAGGTCCCGGACTGCCCCACCCGCCGAGCCCCGCCCCCACTCCGCGGGTCCCTGGCTCCCCGAGACCCCGCCCTGCAGCCGGGCTGGCCTCCAGATGGGTCCTTACCCTTCTGCGACGCCCCGGGCCCAGTGCCCCGTCTCACCTCCCGCCCCAGCCCCACCCCTCTGCGCCCCACCTCCAACCCGATCCCACCCTTCCAGTCCAGTCCTCACCCCTTCTGCGCCCTCAGCCCCAGCCTCCCCACTCACCTCCAGCCAGGCTCCTGCTGCCCTCACCTGCCCATGCTCCAAGACCGGACCTAGTACACCCACCTGCTCACAAAGACCAGCCCCCAAGGGGCCGCAGGTGCAAGAGCACTAGCTGTACATCGCGGGGGAGGCCAGGTGTCGCGTCTGGCTGGCCATCGGGAGGACTGGGGACAGCTAGACCTGCGTGGGGCTCGTGTTCGCTGGCTTTGGTTGATGCGCGCAGCACCGAGAAGAGCGCCTTGTCCACTTGGGGAACTTGAAGAGACTAACGAACGTGTCTTTCAGCCTGGCCATGAACACAGAGCAATTCCAAATTGAAACGTCAGGGAAAAGACGCTAGGTCTTGGGAACTAACCCTCAATTCAGACAAACCAAAACAAAACAAAACTGGACTCGCTCCTTAAAGAAAGGAGAGAAGAGAGACAGGCTTTGCCCCTTCCAGGGAAAAGAAAAATGGCAGACAGCTCTAACCAACTTAGACACAAAGGTGAGGAAGTTAGAGTTAGGGTGCAATGCAGCATACACAGTGAAGTCTTTATCTTTGCGGTGCTGGAGATCAAATCCCCGCCAAGTGTGCGCACTGAGCAAGCTCTCTTCCACTGAGCTACACCCCCAACCCTTCGAGTGAATACCCAAGATTACTGGGTTTGGTTATGAAGGGACTTTCTGTTCTGAATGCATTCAGTAGAAACATAATTATGAAGTGTTCTGAGTGCTTCAGACACCTAACATAAAAGCATCCTCTGTCTTCCCAGGGGCCTCTCTCCTTTTTAATCTTCCCACACATAGAACTCACCCCAAAAGCAATAAGAGAAATTGGTGTTGGGACTGGGTGACCAGGAGATGACTGTGAGAGGCCACAGGTCAGGAGGTGAGATTTGCGGCTGGAGGCTTCTCTACCCACCCCTCCCCAGAATTTGCCACCTCCTCCCTGAGCCCCACCTTCCAGTAATTACCTAGCCATCTTTCCAAGTGTCAAGTATTCATTCAAACAGCAAGTAGAGCAGCTTGCCCGCGTGGGAGGGAGGGAGGGCAAGATGGGAAGCATTTTGGTGTGCCCTTCACACCCTGCATGGCATGAACTCCTTGCATTTCGTCTGTCAGTTTGCTGCCTTTACCATGCTAGTTAGGTGACAGAAGGTTTGGTTGTATGATGCGCAATAGGAAAAGAAGTCATTGCAAAGCCTTGGGGACTGAAATTGCCTCAGGGCACATTCCTTGACAGTGATGTGTGCAGAAGGGAGACTAGCCAAGACCGGCTAGTCTCCAGTGTCAGGACACACGACAGGGGGACAGAGCACACAACACCGACCTCACGATTTTAAGGGTGGGCTCTGCATTGTGGTATATATTCAGTGAGGTGAACATATTGGTATCAATAAATGACACCCCGAGGTGAGCGAAGATTGCTATGGAGTTCCTGTGGCTCTGGTTGGGACTATTTATGTAAAAAGCCAGAAGCAATAACGCAAAATCCCACCACATATTTTGACACCCATGGGGAGTGTCAGTGCCTGCTTTTATTTATTTACTTACTCATTTTGCAGTGCTGCGGATCAACCCGAGGCCTCGCACCTACTGGGCAAGCTTTCTACCACTGAGCTACACCCCTGCTTTTAAAGTCACACTTCTCAGGGGAAAGAGGTACTAACTTCTGAAAATATGTGTTTGCTTGTTTTTTTGTTTGTTTTTTTTTTCTTTTTTTAGGTACTGGAGTTTGAACTCAGGACCTACACCTTGAGCCACTCCACCAGCCCTTTTTGTGTTAGGTTTTTCGAGATAGGGTCTCAAGAACTATTTGCCAGGGGCTGGCTTCGAACCTCGATCCTTCTGATCTCTGCCTCCTAAGTAGCTGGGATTTAAATATGTAGTTTTCATTTTCATCTGCTGAGATGCTCTCTTGGTCTGTTGGCGCTCCTAACAACACACCTAAGATTTGGTTATTAATAAACAACAGAATCTACGCCCACAGTTGTGAGGCTGGGATTTCAAGAGCGAGGTGCCTGGAGATTTGGCGGCTGCTAAGGGCCTTTTCTTTCTCACAGCGGGCCACAGGGAGGGCCTTCTACGTGAGCCGGGGCTCTCCCTTGAGCCTCTCTCAAAAGGACACTAGTCCATCCTTCAGGAGCTCCGCTCTTATGACTCAGTCACCTCTCAAAAGTCACGCAGGTGACAGAGCCCTGGTAAAGCACTGCTCCTGCAGTCATTCGAGGGGCTGTCCCCGTCCCCCGACAGCCAGCATACACCTCCAGCATGTCCCTTCTCCAGGTCACACAACCTTAAGCTCCAGAGCTGGTCTTCTGCCACAACCGGGTTTATATTGATTATATTCCCCTCCCCCGTTACACTTTCTATCCTTCTTCTGCCAAAAAACTTATTCTTGTGCAGTTGGATTTTTTTTAACCCTAAAAGCAGTACTTTAACTTATCCATGTCAAATTTTATCTTTCTATTGAACCTTTTGAATCCTTTCTGGGATTCTTAATCTATTTTAATAGCTATTCTTCCCAGAAATGGCTCATCCAAGGAGTCAATAATAATAACAGCGGGAGCCACAGGCACCTGGCAAAATCCTTCATTTATTTTATTTATGTTTTTGGCAGCACTGGGGTTTGAACTCAGGGCCTCACGCTTGCTAGACAGGCGCTCTACCACTTGAGCCATTTCACCAACCCAGAATTTGTTTATGTTGACTGTAAGTTCAAGTAATATTTTGGTTGTGCTCAGTTAAATGTATTTTTAATTCTACCTGTTTAACTTTTTAAAATATGGCTGCTAAAAATCCATGATTACACATGAGACTTCCGCTTATGGCTCGCATTGCATTTCTGTTGAACAGCACTGGGCTTCAGTAAGTCCTGGGCCATGCACAAGGCAACAGAAAGCTTCTGGTGATGCGCACCTGTAATCCCAGCACTGGGGGAGGATGAAGAGTTCAAGGCCAACCTGGGCTACATAGTGAGACCCTGTCTCAAAAAGAAAAAAAATTAAAAAGCATTCGTGAACAACGTGATGGGGTGCAACAGACTTAAGTGGGACCATCCACAGAGCCAGGCCTTGAAGGAGTCAGAGTCAGGTCAGGGCTGACATGGGTGACGTAATGAGAACCTGAGGACCCTGCAGAGGCCAGGTGGCAACATCAGCCTTGAAGTCCAGGCTCAGGCTGCTGGCCTTGCTCCTGGGCAATGGGAAAGCGTGGGCTCAGGGACTTTCAGCACTGAGGTGCAGAACGGACATGGGGAGGGATGGGGGGCACAGGCCAGAGGAAGGACTGAGTGGCCAAGAAGCTAGGCGTGGAGTGTGGCTCAGCGGCAGGGCGCTGGCATGGTATGCAGGTAGCCATGGCTTCCATCCCTGCAACTGAAGGGAGAAAAGAGTCCTGTGCAGTCTGTGTCGGAGTCAAAGCCGTGAGCTGGGAGGGGCAAGGGAATGTTTCCAGAACATGGAGTACTCCGAGATTTGAGAATTGCCCTCAGTCTTTTTTTTCCTCTTCTCCTTTTTTCAGACCGAATGAGTGAGGGCGGAGAGATGAGTGGTCACCGAGACTGTCATGCAAAATAAAAGCTGTCCAGCTGCCAAGCATCCAACTGAAACAGCCTCTCAGTAGCTCCCTGCCCGGCAGCCAGGGTCCCCGAGAAGCTTCCGTCAGGACTTGGGCAAACCCTGTTGGATACCAGCTTCGAGGAAACTGAAAGAATGCCATCCCCCTCCCCTGCACTGCTCAGTGTTTAAAGGGGACAAAACTCCCTGCAGAGAAAGTGGAGGGAGGCTAAAGCCCCCGGCGCCCATTGGCCAGGACCCTGCACAAACAGGGCAGTGGGTTGTAAATAGAACCAGGAGCAGTGGACAGAATTAATCCAGGCACAGTCATCAGAGTCTCACCCAACAGAGCAAGAGCAAATGGCTTTATTCAGCCCCATGGATCTCTAGAGAAAAGCCCATGAGGCAAAGAATGGCGTGGACAGCAAATAGGTCACTGCCCTTTTCATTCTGTTGGCGAACGGTTTAGTACCAAAGTTTAATTAATTACTTAAATGTATTCATTCACTCTGAGCAACTTTATTATAATTGCACACGACTCTTTTTCGGCACTGGGAGTTTGAACTCAGGCTCATAGGGCCTCACACTTGATAAGCAGGCACTCTTGCTGCTTGAGCCACTCCACCAGCCC